ATTATTGCTTTGCCAATTTTTTCTCAATGTTTTGCTATTTTTCAATTCTTATCGCTTTGAATCCTTTTAGAGTAGGCAATTTCTTTGTTCGCACATTTCACTTTTTTCAATTTCCTTTGCGCGCATTTGTTTTGCTTTGCTCTGCTCTGTAAATACCGTTGCTTCTTTTCGTTTGTTTGTCGTTTTGGCCCATTTTTTCGCGTTTGTATCTTTGTTGATTGCTTTTCATCTCTTATCCCGGTTATTTAGGAAATCTTTTGTGATAAAGCAACTTGGTAATAATCTTGCGTTTGAGGGGGGTTGCCAGATCAAAGTAAATGTATTGCATGTATTTTTGTTTTCTTTTAATTTTTTCATTTGAATAAATGGACTTTCGCGCCTTGATCTAAATTGTGCGCACATTTTAATTTGTTTTTCCTGTTTAGAAATAGCTAATTATTTTGCGTTTACGAAAGATAATATTTAAATTTTCTTTATATATATGCTAATTGAGTGCATATATCACTAAAGAGATTCCTAAGGAATTAGAATATAAAATCAACAGTATTTTTTCCGTTTCAATTTCTGTTTTCATTGCACATTGAGGTTAAGAGCGAACATCTATTCAGTAATTTTACAGTACGATTTGTATATATTTTGATATTAGGATATTTTCAGTCGAGCCTTCTCTTAAATTCTTATATTTTTACGAAATAATTTTTAGTATCTGTTTTTAGAAATAAATAATATAAATCATATCTATGGCGAATCATAACCCCAGTTTATTGATTATGTCCACTTAAGTAGCTGATAATGTCCCATTTAAGTAGCGTTCCCGCTAGAACAACGCTTAATTGGAAATCCAGATTCTAGTCGAACTCCAGATTATAATTTCAGTTCTCGATGGATAACGAATAACAAGCCGTCGTCAAAACTTCACTGGCCAACAAGAGGGATAACTGGTTCGAAAAACTTGCAATAGATTTGGCACTATGAGCAGAGAAAGTGACTTATATTTATCAACATAAATGCAGCCACAATTGTCGATAGAACTATAATGATAAAATAATAAAATGCCCAATGCAGATATAGAAATTTTGATCTGAGGAATATTTATGGTTGTTCAGATTTTTTACATTGTAGGAAGAAGCTCTCAAATGCTCCGAAATATTTTCCAAAAGAAAAGGAATCTTCTATGAAAATTAAGGGTAACTATGAGTGACTTGCAACACACCTCAAACCTCAAGCCATGTAAGAGAAGCAAAGCGGTTCTCAGGCCGAAATTTGATTTTGATAAACAGTCAGACTTCAATAATTCTTAATAAAGCTCTCTTAATTTTTAGAGTATATTTATAAAGCAATAAGTATGTATGTATTTAGTTGCAACCCACACCAGTAGAATTTCATCGGAAACCGAGCTAAGCTAAAATTTAAACGAAATATTTAGTGCGAAAATGTACGATATCTACAAAAACAATTACAAAAACGCAACAATTTAAACACCAAGCAGCTATAATAAAACTATGAAAAGTACCGTTAAGCAGTCAAGTTGATTGCCATGACAATCGGTAGCAGCTGTTGTTGACGATGGCTCCCGACGAGCGTCGAAATGGACATCAACAATATTTTAATGAATGCGGCGAGCCAAGGAAAGTGTTTGTACTGCAAAGGCACAAAAGGCTTGAAGGGCGCAAAAGCAAAAGCACAAGCTATTAGTTTTCCCTTTTAGCAGGAAATTTTTAGCTAACCACCCTTTTTCGTAGCATCCTCTACCCACTGTAGTAGTAGTAAAGGCAACCGCCAAAGCAATTCGCACACAAGCTTGAAGTGTGTCAGCAAGGGAGTAGGCGCGGCAGCGGCGGGTAAGCAAATAGCTTGTGAAAAGTAGCTATTAAATGAGGCTGAAAGCTGTAGCACGGTACAGCTTGGAGCTGGAGGCAGCAGCCAAAACACATACAAGCACATGCCAGCAGCTGTCTACCAACGGCTCAAGCAGAAAAGAAGACGCTTAGCAGAGAACAATATGCCACCACTCAAAGTTATTTGCATAGTATGTATATATATAAAACAGTATATTCGCAATATAGAATCTACTTCTGTTTGTTCAATTATGCTTCCTACAACATTATGTACACGGTATATGTGTTTGTGCATTTCGTGCTGTAACTTGATTAGGCAAATATTTGAAAATAATACTGCTCCAACATATTAGCAGTGCATATGTATGCACTGGAGATGTGAAATTTGTATAAATAATATTATAAATATGGGAAAAATTTAATATTACATTATCTAATATTTCAGATGTGATATAAATGACAAATATATGTATATTTACTCATAATGCAAGCACATTTGCCAAACATTTGTAAATTTGCGGGTAAATCGATAATTTTAAAGTAATAAAACAATTGCGGCATAACGAAAGCCAATTATTTCGGAATTGGAAGAAGAGAAAAATAAAAAAAAATCCTGAAAAAAAACGGTAGAAGTTTAAGAACAAGTAAGCAAATACTTAATGATTCATACTAAATAAAAACATTCGACAAGAATAGAAATTACTTTTGAAAATACTCTAATTTATTGTCAAATGTTAGGGCTAAATAAATTAAGTAATGCGAATATTTAATTAAATTTTTATTATTATTTAAATTATTAAAAAAAAAAGTTAACTTCGGTTGTACTGAAGCTATAATACTCTTCATAAGTAAAGAAGTTTCCATACAAGACCTTGATTTTTGTCGTTCAGTTTAAATGGCAGCTATATGTTATAATTCCGATCTGGACAATTTTCCTACAGAAATTTAATTTCGATCATTTATTTTGTATGGCCGCTATATGCTATAGTTTTCCGATCTGGAAATTTTTTTTTTGAGTATTGTAGCGTTGACTTGGACAATACTTAATGCTAAATTTTGCAAAGATATCTCGTCAAATGAAAAAGCTTTCCATGCACGCATCTTATTCGGATCGTTTAGTTTGTATGGCAGCTATTTGCTATAGTGGTCCGATATCGGATGTTCCGATGAAAGAGCAGCAGGAGAAAAGACGTGCGATATCGTTTTAGAGCGATATCTCAAAAACTTAAGGACTATTTCGCATATACATACACAGACGGGCATGGTTGAATCAACTCAGTTCGTCACGCTGATCATTTATATATACATATTATATATTCATATATTTCGTAGGGTGACATTTATTGATGGGTGTTAAAAACTTCTGCCAAACTTAATATACCCTCTTCAGGGTATAAAAATTGTGGCACATTAATGAGTTACCGTATTGATGTTAGCCTTTGAATTGCCACTTTTCTGCTCGCTATATTTGAGCGCTACCTTTACAGATATTAAGAAGTTTACTAATGAAAGCAGCAACAATTTTATCCAGTTAATGTCAATACAATAGAGCAGCTGTTATTGATTCGAAACGAAACCAGCTAGCAGGACATTAAAGGGGCACAACTGCTTGCTGTTCCGTTCCTATTTTATTATGCCAGTTTATACTAGTTTTACTAGCAGTGTGTTCGATTTGCTACTATACAAGGTTGGGTGAACTGAGGACAGTTTATACTGAGAAAATACATAGTTAGAATATATATACATACTCATAACGCAAAAAAAAATACGCTGAAGGGTACTTATTTTACTGAAACAGAATTTAATTGGAATAAAACTTTTAACTTAATGGTCACATGGTTAATGGTATCTACTTTTCTCTAATCTTTTTACGACTTAAATATCTTCAGAAAACAAATTTCATTTAAACCCGCAGCACTCACACTTATTTATATAAATTCTTATTGATCAGTAGATGTTCAACTTAAAATCTTTAAATATTCTACGTTCGCTTCAACAATTGATGGTTGACAGTACAGTAGAACAACTGTAGCGCAGTTGATAAGCAAAGTAAAAAAGAAAAATAACAAATATTTGCATAGACCAAATAAACACAGCAAAAGTTAAGGAATTTGCAAAAATATTCACCTACCTACAAATCTATATGTAAGTAGATATGCACACTTACAGGTAAAAACACATATGTGGATGCGCTTATGTAAATTACAAGTAAATTTCGAGTGACGTAATCGATTTGTATGCAAATTCACCGAAAACTGTGCGGCATCAGCTGTGAAAAACATTATCTAAAGATAATTGAATAAACTGTTTTATTTATCATTGTGTGTTTACTGTGTGACATGCTGACATATGTCATAAGTGAAGTGGCATTCAAAAACAATATGTATGTATGTTTAGCTTTCAAGTATTTTGCTCTTAAAATTTTACGGGTTTACGAGATAACAGAGGCATATCAGGTGACAGATACATAACACATGCTAGTGAGGAAAAATATTACTTTACAACCAGGAATAGCTAACTTTAATCGAACTTACCAAAACAGACTTATTTTGAACTACCTTTTCAACGAAAAGTGAACTAGTCCGAAAAGAATGAAATGACTTGATCGAATTGTGAAACACTATGCAAGAGTTATTAGACGATTTCTGAGAATTAAGGAATACTAGGAAATGCTAGCAAATTAGTTTAATTTCATGTTTGGGAATGCATTTATGGCCAATGAAGAGGTAAACAACGATACTTAGATATATTACTAGAGCACATAGCTGTCATACAAACTGAACGATCGGAATCAAGTTCTTGTAAAGAACCTTTTGTATTTGTGAAGGCTATTATAAGTTCGATGCAAGCGCAGTTAACAATTGTTCTGTTTATTTAATGTTTTTGAACCAGTATGAAACTGGTGTATTTCTAACGAAAATCTGACAGCTAATATCTAAATCTATTTCTATTTTGCGAATCAAATTAGTTTAAAAAAAAACACACGTTACAACTAGTCGATTTCACTGTAGGGATGTTATACAGAGACTTTTGCAATACATACAGTTATTACATTCGAAGCGTTTCGAATGAATTTATACTGATTTGCTGCAGTTGAGGAGTATATGTAAATTTATAGATTTGAAATCAAATCGAAAAGTGAAAACATATTTCAGTTAACGAGTAAATTTTAAACAGAATTGTTATGTAGTGCCAAAGTATTGAAAAATGCCTGGAAATAATTTTAAACGAATTTTTATAAGCTGTTTATTATACCGCTACGCATTTGCACAGAACACGGGTACTTGAGTACAAAATTTCTAAAATAGAAAATTTTCACAATACAATTTCACAAATATAAAGATTCCAATGGCTAAATTGAATCAGCTCGTCACGCTAATCATTTATATATGAAAATATACTTCATAGGGCCTTCAGCGTTTCTTTTTGGTTTATAAACATGGTGGCAAAGTTAACATACCCTGCTCAGGGTATAAAAAAAACTAGTAATTAGTAACTAAAACTAATTGGTACAAATTAGAAAACAAAAACAATTTTAATAAGCAATAAAATTATACAAAAAAAAACTTTAAATTTTAAAAACTAAAAATATAATAAAAAATTTAAAAAAGTAATACTAATAATTTATTTACTTATTTTATTCAAAAAGACATCTTTGTACACAGAACGCATTATGACGAGTTTATAATATTCAACAAAAACGCGGTATGTAAAATAAAAATTACACGCAAAGCACAAAGGTTTTGGAAATTATTGTCTGCTTTTGTTAACTCTTCCGTAAAACCAAAACTCTTAGGAAACCTGGAAGGATGCGCTCGATAGATGCCATGAGCACACAGCCAATTTGGTCTCACTCGAGTCGCAAAAAAAGCTCATAGGTTTGCATATGTTTTTATTTTCCAACGGTAGGCACATGTTCAACACTTGTTGTTGTAATTATGTAAAAATATTTTTCAATTAATTTATTTTTCTAGATTTTATACAGACAACGGTGAATAAGGCAGATCGTACTTTTATATATTGGAGCGGTGGCAATGATTTATCAAACCCGGGTACTTATGAGTGGGAGGGTACAGGCAAGGCCTTTAAATATACGCACTGGCTAAATGATCAACCGGTGAATATTGAAAGCGGCGGCTGTATACAATTTGGTGCTGGTGGCTTTGGACGTTGGTCCACAGAAAATTGCGATACTAAGCGGTTTTTTGTTTGTGAGCGTAATAAAAATTAATTACAAACAAATATGGTTTTTAGTTATTTTATTCTAATATTAATATTTCTTATTTTTAAAATTTTTTTAACAAGAAGGGTTGTTATCGCCATTAGTTTAATAAGTTATGTATATATAAGCAGCGTTGTACATATATTTCTAAATTAAAACGCCACAATACCCCAAAAAATTTAAATATGAGCCCACTTTCAGTAAATAAAGGCATTGCGAAATGAAGGAACGGTTGGTAGTTAATTTTTTCAAGTAGTTAATTGGCTGCGCACAAGTGGCATAATGGCCCAGAGAGCAAACAAGTGGAATGGTATGCAATGCAGCGCAAATGTATGCTAACTAGCACATACATATATATATATATATATATATACAAGTAAACAAAAATGTGCAGCGGCGTTGCGGCCGGCTGTGGTCAACGCAGCCAACGGCACTGGCGCATAATAAGCCACGACGCAGCCGTGCCGGAATGAGTGCAGTCATAGGTGAAAAGCAGTGAAGTGTGGCGGAAGGAAGTGAACTGCAGGGGATCATATTTATATATATGCGCATATATGTAGCTTTGGGTTTTAAACAGCGCTAATTTACGAAATGGTGGCAAGAAATAAGGAGACCTCTTGATACACGCTTGAGTATAGGAACTTCAATAAATTTACCGCTGTTTGAACAATTTTACTATGCAATTTATTATATGAAATCCCTGATTTGCTGAATAAACGGCCATTTAATTTAATAAAATTAAAAGTGCCTAAAACTGATTTGAAAAAATTTTCTTTTGCAGTTATTTGCATTTGATTTTGAATTTCGTATGCTTCCGCAGTCTCAATGTATAATACATTTTTACAATTTTTAGTAGTTTTGCTTTGCTAAAAATGTTGTATACATTCGTGCGCGTATGCATATTCCAACATACCTAGCATACTCAAAGGCGCGTGCTGTATAAAGTATACAGAAAACGCTAAGAGCTTGAAAATAACGTAACTAAGAGCAATGATTGGTAGGAATTAATAATAAACTTGGTTTAGGCGCCAAAAATTATGCAAAGTTAAAAGTTAGTTTAGAAGTTAAGCAAGCTAATGCCTGATCTTAAGTGACACTTACTGAAACGCTCTTATAAGACAGAAAGCAATAGAAGCGCTTTTATGGAATTCGGGAATAGGTGCCTATTTTGTAATATGTATAGCTTCAGAAAAACGAAATACGAAAGTACTGATGGCAAAATTTAGGCATGAACACTAAATGGTACTTTAAGCACAAACGGATTAACAGAAATAATTACAACAAATATTAATTCTAAGTGAAAAAAATATATCGGAAGAAATGTTTAATATCGGTGCACTATATCATATAGCTGCCACGATCAAAATTAAGTTCTTGTATGGAAACTTCTTTATTTGTGAAGGGTATTCTAGCTTCGGTATAACCAAAGTTAACATTTTTTCTTGTTTTTTTATTTTTGTGATTTTAGGTATCAGCCAGATTTCTTAAATTATGAACTTTTAATACTTTCAGCAGAAATTTATATACGCAGCACTCATATTACACTTGCAATCAATTATGTTTTCCATGCCACACACTTCCGTTATGCACATAACCAGCACTGTTGCTGTACAATAGCTTATTGCATTTTCTTTGATTTCAATTTTTAATAAAATTTCCAAAATAAAGTTTACCAAGTATCAAACTTAAAGTTTTAGCACGCATGCACACGCATATGCGCACACAATAATAATAACGGGTGAATAGCAAAGCAAGCATGTTGCTGCAATATGGACGGACTACTTGAGCTAGGGCAAACTTTGGTTACAGAATGCGCACACACACATACAAATGTTTATGATGTTTGTGTAAAATATGCGGAGATGCACACGCATTGCCTAGTATTGTGTATGCGGTGTTGCAATGCAATCCAGCAACATTGTGCTAACTTTATTGTTTTTCAGTTACAACAAACACAATATAAAGTAAGCACACAGCACACAAATAATGCAGCAAAGAAAAAGTAAGAGAAACAAGGAAGGCAAAAGGCGTAAATATAGGAGACAAGCACAACTCAAATACAAACTGCGCTAAAGTGCGGCAAGCATAAACATATGTGTTGCAACAAACACAAGCACATATGTGTGGCAACGGTGGCAATATCGAATTGCTTGCATGCATGCCACGTCGTCCAAAAGTATCGAGAATTTACCACTTTGTTATAATTTTATTTAAATTTCAACTGCTGCGTGCCGTAAAAGTTTTAGTGCCCTTTCAAGTCCCTTTCAGCCGCTCCCTCACCAGTGGTTCACACAGAGCAGGCAGCACAGCTTCCACCCACCCAAGCACACAAGCTTTTTATGCGCTCTTTTGCGCCTTTTGACTACTATGCATATTTACATTTACCCCTTATCGCTTTCAACGCTCTTTGTAGACTCTCTTATATTGCGTATGTGTGTGCGTGTGTGTGTCTGCTCCGATTAAATGGCATAGTGGGCAACAATATGCTTGCAAAATACTAAAATCGCATGCAGTTGCACAAATCACATACAAATTTGCGCTTTTCACACACAGACACACAAATGGATGCCTCAAATGCCAGCGTGAAAAGCTCAACTAACATATTATTAAGGCTGCGTCCATATTCAAGTATTACACATACGTTTATTATTTATGTCGCCATTATTTTGAGTAAAAAAAAATATATCTCCAAGACGAAGAGGCACCAAACGGAATGCTGTACTCATATTTTTAAGTAGCAAATTAAAAATATGTGAAGTAAACGAAAATATGTCATAAACTCACTTATGAACAATGGAATTGCCTGAACACGGAAATGTTGCAGAGCTAATGATATAAAAATCTGCTTTAAGCACTTTTCGAAATTAAAAATATTTCTATTTGATATTTTTCCAAATTTTGCCTAAATGTAGGCAACAGAAATTTATTTGCAAGTTGACTAGTAATAATTACATTACAATTTTTTTCTGAGTATGGTTCCATTAGAAAAATAGACATGTGTCATAAAATAGTTCAAAAGCACTACTGCATATCATCATATAAGCTTCTTTAAAAGCATTTTTAATAAAAATGTAATCGATAACCAACTACCAATTGGATGAATCTAGCAAAGAAAGTCTATAAGTCACCTTAATATTTTGACCTTGACCATAAGCCATAGAACCGGAGATCTTATCAGTTTGTTCAATTCGGTTTAAAGTAGGGCTTATATGAAACCCAAAGAATTCCCTGGTAGTTACATAATATTTATAATATTTTATAACGAGTACGAACTCAAAAAAACAAAACAATTATCAAAAAAATCTAAATATTTCCCAATAACCACGCACAATATTCAGCGCTCAAACCCACTTGGCTAGCATAGACGCCATAATTTGCACATTAAAAAACACATACAAGTGTATTGAATAGAAATAGGTGGGAGTAGTAGTAAATTTCCAACTAACTGTGTACGTGCCAAATGGCTGGAGTATAATATCGGCTTCATATTTATATGTGTACGCCATTTAGAAAAACTAGTTGCCTGCGCTGGAGGCAGGAGTTGCCTAACGACAAAATTTACAGTGCAGTAAGAGCATAAAAAATATTTTTAAATGTAAATATAGACTAAATAATTTTTTTAAATTTAAGTTAAAGACTAGTTTTTTTCAATAAAATATTTTTAAATTTAATTAAATAAAAAAACATTAAATTAAAATTACAAATTTATTTAATATATACAGTGACTCTAGGTAAAAATTTTAAATATTTAATAATAAAAAAAAATCACATAAATTAAAAAATATATATCTACTGAAAACATACATATTTACTTCTTCAATTTACAGTATTTTTACTTTATTTTTTTGTTTTTGGTAAACTTTATATAATTTTTTTTTATTTTTAATTTTTTTCATTTTAATTTTGTCTCATTTTTAATTTAAAGCTTAGTAATTTCAAAGTCAAATTCTGTAACAAAATATCTAAATATTTTTTTAACTTTAATTATTTTTTGTTTTATTTTTCTTCTACATTTTAATTAATTAACTTAATTTTTGGTTTAAAGTTTAATTAATTTGTATACTGAAAAGTGTAATAATTAAAAAATTTGATATACTAAAAGCTAAACACAAAAATTTGATACAAAAAAAAAAAATTAAAAATACACATGAAATATTGTATATAATCTTTTTTATTTAATTTCTTTAATGTACAGATTTTTTTTAGTTTTGTTCTATTTTTTGAATTTTTTACTAATATTTATATACGTCTTATTTTTTATTTAAAAATTAGGAATATTTAAATCCAATTCTATAAATAAAAATTTTAATAATTTTTGTAAACTGAACAATGTAAAAATTAAAAAAAAATGTTAAATATTAAAAAAACTAAAAATGAAATTTTGTAAGATACACATAAATTTAATCATATTTTTAATTAACATTTTTTTTTTAATTTTACTATTTTTGGTGTTCTTTGGTAAACTTTATTGAGTAAATTTATTTTGGCAATTTCAAAGTTTAGTAATTTCAAAATTAAAAAGAAAATAATTCTTTCGAAAATATTATTAAAAAAAATTTTTGGTATTTTTTCTAAATTTTCATTAATTTCTTAAATTACTCCACTTTCAATTTAAAGCTTAGTAAACTTTAATCATTTTTAAAATTTTATTACAAAAAATTTAAATAATTTTTGTGAACTGAACAATGTAAAAATAAAAACAATGTTACATGTTAAAAAAACCGAAAATAAAGAAAAGAAAATTTTGTAAGATACACATAAATTTAATCAACTTTTAATTAAATTTTTTTTTTGTTTTAATTTAACTAAATATTTTTTTTGCGTTCTTTGATTAATTGTATTGAGTATATTTATTTTGGTAATTACAAGGTTTAGTAATTTCATAATAAAAAAAAAAAATTTTCGAAGATTTTAATAAAAAAAAATTTCTGGAATTTTTTCTAAATTTTTATTAATTTTTTAAATTAATTCACTTTTAATTTAAAGTTTAGTAAACTTGAATCATTTTTAAAAAAGT